AGCCGGAACGTGTCCGGACTCTAGACCCTGGCAGGCTATCGAAATCACAGCAGAGCAGCGATGACAGTGGCAGGAAGATCTAACGCTTCGATGGGCAACACGTGCAAAGTCAAACAATGCGATTCGAAGCATTTATTGTTACAGCGAACAAACTTGAGAAACTATAAAGCCAACTTAGACTTGGATTTAGGAGCATCTTCGCCCTGGGCCCTGGATTTATTTATGTTGAAGTGTTGTGCCCCCAGTTCGGTGTCAGTTGCAGACATGCTACGGATACGGATACGGATACCGATCCCACCTACGTCCTTCATAAATATGAAGTCCACCTAAACACCCAACACACAGACCAGACCCCAATCGGATCTGGGAGGGGACGAAACAATAATGCTCGTAGGGCCAGGCCAGCGAAAGAATAGACAGGCAGATAAGACAGAACAGAACAGAAAGCCAGTTGAAAAGTTTCATAGCCGAATGAAGATTGGCATTGAGATATGCACGTGATTGGAATGGAATGCCGAAAATTATATCGAGCTCCTGTGGCGTGCAAAATCTTTGCCAAAACAATATATGTCATATACACACTGACAGCAATAGATACATACATATGTATGTGTATGTGTATGTGTACAACAGGAAGTGGCCATGGCAGTGGCTGTGCCAGAACAACAAAAGGCAGGGAGGGGCAGGGGCACAAGTAGAGAATAAATGGCCAACGAATTGAGTGAGTCCCATGGAGGAGCAGCAACGGCACTGGGTAGCGGAAAATAAAATGCACATTAGCCAGGCCAGAGGCGCTCAGCTGCCAGCAGCAGGAGCGGCAGCAGCAGGAGGAGAAAACAGTGCCAGCAGCAGGAGAAAATAGTGCCGGACATGGGGCTAAGAGGAAGGAAATTGTTACGTCGACCGAGGTGGAAAAGCAGCCCAAGCAGGAAAAGCAAGACCAACGGCCAAAGTGAATGCGGGTGTTGAGAAAGAAAAGCGCAAATCGAAATAAATAAATAAAATCAAATGTTCTGTGCACAAGAAACTTTCCAGGACTCGGCCCCTGGCTCACGGTCCCCCGGTCCCGGTCCCGGCCTCGACCAGGTTAGGTAAATGGCAAGGGCAGCTCCTGGGAGCCCTGAAATAGCATCTTATGAGCGTCTGGAGGTTATACACATACACACACACACATATACGTATACGCAGCGTAACGTAACGGAAACGGAAACAGAGCGATAAACTTTTGTTAGTGTAAACCCGCGCCAATCCACACTCGCGGGGACCGCGAGAGCGTGAAAGTGCGAAAGTGCGAGCTCGGGAGAGCTCTGCAACGGCACCGTGGAAATTGTCGGCCAGCCCTTGGCCAGAAGAGGCACTTTTATGGCGTTGGCTTGCTCAGTACAGGGCTGGCTGCCCAAAACACACACTCAAAAAGAAGAACAAACGAAACTCAATTCAGATTCAACAGATTGCCTTTACTGTACGGTACTGTACTGTACTCTCCTCTATGAGGACACTGTGGACACCACTCTGAGTTGTGCAATTTAAAGTCGACGGCGACCTTGATTAAGCGGTCGCTGCTGTAATGCAATTTGCTTTAATTTCCTTGGAGCAAACGAAGACTGATTGAGCCAGTGTGCGTTCCGCTGTGTGTGTGTGTTTCGTATAGTAAATCCAATAAAGAATCAATGGCTAACAAGCAAAAAACAAACCGAAATAAGTTTTCGGTGGCCTTGGTGGAAAATCTTAATTTTTCCACAACATACAAGACGTGACGCACCCGCACCCGCACCCACAGCCGCACCAGCAACCTGACAACATGGCAACATGGCAAACTCTGCACAACTTTTTAGAGGCGTGTGGGTTTGGGTTTGGGTGCGTGAGTGGGTCATTTGCTGGCCGTTTGTCTGCGAGGTTTTTATTTCTTGTTGATTCTGTAGCCTTAAAACCAATTTCGTCTGTATTTTCGTCACACGCCACTTGGTAAATAAATATCCCAGTTTGTAGTTCCTTCCTTTCAGGAGAGCAAATATTTATTTTGCGGTTAAGCAGCCCCACTCCGACATAAGCATTCCAGCCCAAACAGGTGTATTTTCTGGTAATTAAATAAAATTGGGAATCAATCGGTCCATCAGTAGGAGAAACCTGTCGTTAGCAGCAACCAAAATGCAAATTCCAATATTGCCTCAAAAAATACTACACACCCCAGAACAATGAAAATTCGTCAATAATCAAGCCAGAAGTTTGGTTCAAGCAAAACTAACATTTTCCAAAACAATGAAACATATTCCAAAAGTATGTCCTACTGCCAGCCCCCTTGCTAAATACACCTTTGTCGTTTGATTTATGGTTTGGAATGGAACCATTCCCAGTCCGCAACAAAGTATTTTGCATGTGTTACGATCCCCTTTCTCTGTGGCTATGGAAATTTAAATGTCTGAGTGATTTGTTTAAACAAACGTCCAGTTTTCGTTCTTCTTCTTATATATGTATGTATTTATGTATGTGATGTGATGTGTGTCGCCTTTTGGCTTCGCTTCGCTTCGTGTTTCGTTTGGATTCGTTTGCTTGTCTCTACAGCTGTCAGGTCCAATCTTGAACCAAACGGAACCTGAACCCGGACCCGGACCGCACTTCTTCTAGTGTTTGCCCCTCCATGGGGCTTTGTGTCTGTCTGTGTGTGTGTTTGTGTGTGCCTGTCGTCGTCCACTTGTCATGTCACTCGGCATCATTGTCAGTCCAGACAATGGCAGCCCGACCAATCTGCTCTCTTACCTAACATCCAGCCAGCCAGCCAGCCAGCATCCCATTTCCCTCCTCCTCCATCCCGGCGCAAGCACTCGAGGGGAAAGCTACTTTTCACCCACTGCATTTCATTTACATTTCAATGTCAGTGGAGCAGAGAAGAGAACCTTTTCTCTCTCCCCTTTGGCAGGACAAACTCGTTCTAGGCACCGCTGACAATCGTAATTTACCGTTACAAATCAATGGCCAAACTATGGCCCTAACGAGTCCCCCCCCGCCGCCGCCACCACTTCGGGTGAGAATTGGTAAGAATGGGCGAGAGTGTCGATGCGTTGATGGCCCTGCATCTGAAGTGGCGCCCGACTTGAAAGATACATTACTGAAATATACAGAAATATTTTACGCACAATTTATGTTAATTTTGTTGTTCGTTTTTCACTGCTCGCCAGCCACAGTTTAGCCATAAAATAGCAGGCCAAAAGAGAGGAAAATTATATAGGAAAAGGTAGTTTTTCGGTATCGAGACTTTACATACCCTTACGGAACTGTAATAGATAAAAAAAAAAATATATATATATACTTTTCTTTTGAATAGTCGCTTTTAAAGCTATGACCTAAAGGCTATACTCATCCGATCGAAGCTAAGCGAATGGTGTTCATAAAAGCAAAGAAAAATGATTATGAGTATGGCATCGACTGTTTAATCTAAGCAACAATATACGAGCATCTATGTGGCTCTGGCTTCCCTTCTCTACTAGGCAGGGTATTACCACAAATGCCACAATAAGTGGCAAAGCAAGGAGCATATTTTTATGGCACGACTTGTATATTTATGCGCGATTTTTTCTACATTGACCAGGAATCGTTTAGCTATCTGAACAGACTCATATAAGCATACACGAGTGCGAGTGCGAGTATCCTTGGGCTTGTACGTGATGTGGCAAAGTTTTTCGGGTTCAGAAGGCGAGCGCAATAACTGGGGAGATGGAAGGTTTGGGTGCGTTGTGGGTGGGTGTTTTGTGTGTGTGTGTGTGTGTGTGCTAACATTTTGACAGGCAGGACTTTAAGTTGTCAGAGCACTCTTTAGCCATTCTCTGACAGCCTGGCTGCTGGATGCTGTTGGCCATTGTGCTTATTAACATATTGTTTGTTATTTTCCCTCATGTCGCGCCATTGACAATTCATTTGTGTTATCACACGCACACATACGGAAAGGGCTTAGTGACATAACAGAAAACGGGGGACAAACTGACAGAACTGTTGAGGCAAGTATCTGCACAGATTTCTGATGCTGATAGCAAGTGACAGCCAACAACAACGTACAGTCAGCCAGCCAGCCAGCCAGCAATGAATAAAACAACGAATCGAAGTTTAAAATAAACCAGGCTTTCCACAGGCCTCTCCCCATGGGTAAAGATTGAAGATGGAGAAGATTTTCTGGCTTCCACTTCATCCCAATCCACACACACACTTTGAATATAAATCGTTTAAATCAAGAATATTCTCTTTGCTTTTGGGCAACCAGCTAAAGGTTTCCACAATATTTTCTCTATTTATGGGAGTTAGAGCAGGGGCTATCCTTTGTTCAATCTTTGGCTGTGGATGGTTTGTGGCTGTAATCCTTCAGAATGTGGTCTGCTCTCCTCCAATTAAAGCCAAAACCTGTAATTCCCCGTGGTAAATCCAGTGAAAATATGAACTGAGTTTTTTTCTCAGCCTGGCTATGCTTTAATGCTCGTTTTCTAATCACCTAGGATAATCCATGCTGCGTTGTAAGTTACCACAGATTTCTAAATTCTGCAAGACAACATGCAGCAGCTGCGCTCATCTCACACACAAACGCATATGCAGTTGTTGGAGTCTCCCCCGCCATTATTCTTGAGCCCAAATTGCCAGGCACTTAGCCAAAGGCATGCCTTACTGCTAGGACGTTGCCTCCAATGGCTTTCCCCGCTACCTACCCTACTCCTCGGCAAGGAGCGAGCCGCACTCATGTGGCAGCTCGTTATTATTAGCATAATTACGGGCGCATTAGCGTTGCGGGCTTCAGTTTCCTGGCAAATTTACCTGCCCGTTTATGACACGGCCTAAAAGTGGGCCACATGCTGAGATGCAACGCTGCCAGCGCTGCTTTAAGGCTGGTCTTTAAAGCGAGCCTTGGCTTTATGCAAATGGCAGGCCCTTTTATCGCTCCTTGTAGCTCTCTCTCCTATTGCCCTATACTGTTCATTAACATGGCATTAATTAGTTTTTCATTTTACTTTACTTTGCAGCTTTCGCTTGATGTTCACGCAACAGACGCGTCTCGACTTGCCGCATTAAACGGCAACGCAACCCGACAGCAGGACCTTTTCTGCTCTCTGGCCCGCAAAGGGAGAGCTAAACAATTTTTAGATAAGTCCGAAGTCCGAAGCTGAAATAAAAATAAACACCCTGAACAGAGAGTCAAGCGGGGAGCACAGGCGAAGGATCAGCAGAAGGACGACAATGCGTTCTCCGCGCATTCTACCGCTGCTTTGGCTCTGGGCCTGTGCCTGGACCTGCCTGAGGCCGGCCACAGCCTATCCAAACACACAGCAGCAGCAGCAGCAGCAGAAACAACAGCAACACCACCAGAAGCATCAACAGCCGCTGGTCACCTATTCGACCACCTCGACAACCTCATCCAGCCAAAGGAATGGTAGTGGCGGTGGCAGAGGAGGTGGCGGTGGCGGTGGCGGTGCGGTCTGGACCACTCCTCCAACCCGCCTTTGTATATGACGCGGCCATGCCCCAGCAGTACGAAAAAGTGGTGACATCCTCGACATCCTATTCGCAGCCGGAGACAGAGGCATCGCCATCAAAGAAAGTCATCGGTTCCAGGTGAGTACGCACACTGGTTTTTGTTCGCATTCGCAATTTTAACTCCTACTGCGTTACGGACAATAGCTGGTGGTGGGAGGGGATGGTAGAAAAATAGGAATATTTTCCCATTTGCCTCTTTGTTTTCCACGCCCACTTGTACTTGGGCATTGTGGCGCCGCGTTTGTACCCGTAGTTACTGTTGTTAGGGAAAATCTTTTGTTTGCACAGCTTTCTGCAATTTTTGCCACTAATTGAAATAGAATTTTCCTCCTTTTCTGTTGTTGCTACCGCTTCCGCTGATGCTGAGGCTGCTGCGACTGAGAGTCATGGGTCGGTTGGGCTCTGGTCAGTGTGGCCACATGCCCTAGTATTTTTAATTAATTTCCTTGCTAGCCACAAAGCGTGCTGAAGAGGGCAACAAAACGTAGCATACTTCGCGGCGTCGCGTTCATGAAAGCTTTCAAACGATAGCAAGAGATAGAGAGCAAGGGAGAGAGTGAGAGTGGGAGTAAGAGATTCGGTTGCACAGCTAATTGAGTGCCTTTCAACATTAAATCATTGCTAATCAATTGAGTTTCGGTGAGTAATGCTTTTGATGTAGCCTGGTTATGGAACCAGCCATCCCCCCAAGAAATGTGCAGAAGTCAAATATTTAGTCTAAACGATAAAGAATTAAAAAAATAAAGAATTAAAATTTTTTCCAGCATTTTTTACATGCCCTGGCCCTCCAGCCACCAGCTAGTCCCCTTTGCGTGGTTCCAGCGCATTTTCATATTAATTCCGCGCATAAACAGCTTCACGGCCGTGGCCTCCCTCGGGCGCCAGCTGCTGGCACTCTGCTTCCTCCGCTCTCTCCCATGTGCTGATAATGACTGACTTCGGATGATAATGACTGCTGCTGCTGCTGATGATGATATGGCTGACGTATTCCGATCCGAGTGCATAATGGCGATGATTTTCGGTGCAGCAACATTTACATTCATCTGAATATTTCTGTTTTTCGCGAACTCCAATTAAAAACAATTCGCTTGCCAGGCATTCCACGAGCTCTACGCCATACATAATGCAGCCTATCATATTCTATCATAATTATTCCGAAATAGCAAAAGGCAGTACACTGTTCTGTGCACAGATATGTAGTTGTTACTTCAGATGGGAAGAGTATTAATATAAATAAAATAATCGTATTACGCCGAGAGAGAGAGAGAGATAGAGAAGTGTTTCAGCTTGGAATTTGAATTCATTTTGTTGTTTTCGTGCGGCTCTCCTGGCTCTAACACATTTCCGAACTTAGCTTCCGCTTGAAGTGATTTCTTTGCATGGCCCTGATGATTCGGACGACCTCTGCAACCTCTGCAAACACACACACGCATCCATGCAGACGTACGTTTGCTTAGTGCATAGTTCATACATATGTATGTATATATACAGACAGGAATGTGGCTGTATGCTGTAAGCAGGCAGCTAGCTGTATATGACTAAGCACGCTCCGACTCACGTGCTTAAATGTTAATGATGTGCTCATGCCGCACGCGGAATTACTTGCATGCTGCACACTGGCAAGCGGAGACTCCTGTGTGAGCTAAGCTTTCAGCAGATGCAGATGCAGGTGCATCCTGGGGAGTGGTGGAAATGACTGCGTGACTTTCTTTTCCATTAAAATGCCAGCGACTGCGCCGAAAAGTATGCAGCATGACTGGCATCGATAGTGGGCCAGAGGACACTTTGCTGCGGCATAAATAATTGTAGTCCGACCACTGTGATTGACGATTTCCAAGAACCTCGAAGGGGAGACAGGCGGCAGTTGCACGGGGAATATGTAGAAAAAGAAAGCAAGCTGCATAGAAATAGAGTATAAATCACTTGCCATTAATCAACCATTTGACGCCACTAACATATGTTTTTCTTTCATTCCTCTCTGTCGCTCTGCTAGTGTGGCCCCATCTGTTGGTGCAGTGGTGCTGGACGGCAACGAGCCGCAATTCACTGACGCCGTGGGCCACAAGGTGCCAAAGCCGCAGCCCTCGCTGCAGGTGGCCAGTCCCATAGATCTTCTCAATCCGGACCGCTATGAGTTCTACACGTTCGACGAGCACGGCGAGCTGGTGAAGCGTCTGATGACCATGCAGGAAATCCAGAGCATTGTGGCCAACGGCGATGGGGAGGGTCCATCCATCATACACACGGCTCCGCCGCTGAGCGAGCCCCATCCGGAGAAGAATGTCCAGGACATTGTGGACAGCGTGCAGAGTGTGCTGAACAAGGAGGTGGCCTCCAGCTCCGGCAAGAACAGTTCCAGCGAGATGCTGCTGCCCCTGCTGGACACCCCCGATGTGTCCTCCTCCTGGTCGCTTATCCTGCCGGCCATTTTCGGGAACACGGGCGGCGACCTCTTCCTGCAGCAGAAGCCGCAGCAGATTGTGATGACGCCCGAGTCAGAGCTGGTGGAGGCCTCCACCCAGGCGGCGGTGCCATTGCCATCCACCACGCGGGTCACCAAGAAGCCGAAGCCCGCCAAGCGGAAGCCGGGCAACAAGCGCAAGCCCCCCAGCCCCACCACAAGCACCACCGCAGTGACGCCGCAGGTGGTGCAGGAGGAGCTTGACCCCATGGAGTCGGTGTACACGGGCATGCAGCAGTACCAGCACGTGGCCGCCAACATGCAGGACTTCGATCTGCTGCACATGCAGCCCATCTACCAGAAGCAGCCCAGCACCACGGCCCAGCCGGAGACAACCACCCGCCGCGTGTTCTACAACAATCAGGAGATCATCCACACGCCCACCTCCTCGAGCAGCGCGCCCTCAAGCACCGAGAAGATAGTCGTCAACCACACGCTGGCCAAGAAACCACCAAACGTCCAGAGGAAGCCATCGCAGCCACATCGGGTGAAGAAGCCCGGCTCCAATGCAGCGGCAGCAGAGGGAGGAAGTAGCACCAGCACCAGCACCTCTCCCCAGCCAAGCGGCGGCAAGCAAAAGGTGAAGAAGAAGACAACAACAACGACAACACCAGCACCAACAGCTGCACCTGCATCCTCAACCGAGGCAGCGACTCCCGAGCCAGAAGTAAGCGCAGCAACGACCACAGTCCGGGCACCTGCCTCAACCACGCCCAAGCAGAAGAAGAAGCGCAAGCCCACACGTACGCCGGGCACGGGAACCACCGGCAGCAGTGGCAGCACTGGCAGCACCGCCGGAAGCAGCAGCAGCAAGCCATCAAAGCCCAAACGAAAGCCAACCACAAGGCCCAAGCCAGCGCAGATAGAGATACAGGCGGGAGAAATAACTTCACCACAGCAGGTGGTGACCCAGAAACCGACAAGGCCTCAGCGACCGAAAAAGAAGCCCAAACCTACACCAACAACGACAACAACAACGACAACCACTCCAGCTCCAGTGGCAGAAACAACAGTCACATCAGCCGCAGAGGCAGAAATCACGCCATCGGAGCCAGCACCCACACAGCCACCAGCAGAGATCTCAACCAGCACAATGGCCAGCACTCCAGAGCCAGCGACAGAGCCAGCAACAGAGCCGTCGACGTCTACAACAACAACGACAGCAGCAGCAACGACAGCAGCAACAACAACAGCAGCAACAACAACAGCAGCTACAACGACAACGACAAACAAGCCGCCAGTGGTGCACAACCAGAAGCCGCATGGAAAGCCCGGCAGCTCCACCAAGAGGCCACCAAATCTTCACCACAATCGCATACACAGCAAGCCGGTGCATACGACTTTGGCCACAACGACGGAGGCAACTAAGGCCGCCAGTTATGGACTGGTCAATGTAATTGCAGCTCAGACCACAACCCACCACCCACCGGTGTATCCCATGCCCAGCTACGACGCAGATGCAGCCCAAAACCTGTCCACTCTATTCGCGGATGTCTCGGATCATTCGCCGCTGAAGAAGACGCCGCTGCCCACGTTGGCGCAGCTGCAGCAGCAGATGCACCAAAGCTCGCCCTCACCAGCACCACAATTGTCGCCAGATCAGATGCTCTCGATGGATCAGATTGTGCAGTCGCTGACACAAGACCTCTCCGCCGCCGCTGACAAGTCGGATGGGGATCTGGATGGAGCGGGCAGCGTGCCAGCTCTGGTCCCAGTCAAATACGAGAGTGCCGAGACCCAAGACCAGATGGAGACGTTGGCCAACAAGAAGAAGGTAACAGTGACAAGCAGTACAACAACGACAACAACAACGACAACAACAACCACAACAACGACTCCCAGAACGACAACTACTGTGGGTACCACAAGAAAGCCACTCATCGCTCACTATGGAGGCAGCACCTTGGCCACCATGCTCTCGGGAGAGGAGGATACCAGCGAGGTTAAGCAGCCCACAGACACTGACTCCACAGAGTCTACAGTGGGAGACAAGGAGACGACCCTGAGCAGCCTGGAGGAGCAGCCGGAAGAGGAGACTCCTGTGGTGCTGATCACGGCCAGACCGCAGTACTTCACTGTGACCCCGCAGCCAGTGCCCCTGAAGCCGTTTGTGCAGACAGAAAAGGCCACGGAGGAGCAGGAGGAGCCAGAGACCACAGAGCTGCCTGGAGAGACGCAGTTCCTGGTCACCACGCCCATGGCAAGTCTGGACGAGATCGAAGCCACCACCGACAAGCCCGCAGACGAGTCCCAGTCCGAGTCCGATCATGTGGTGAAGTTTGAGCCGCTCTTTGCGGATGTGCCGGAGGCAATTGTCACCGAGCTGAACGAGCCAAGCGAGCCAAGCTCCACAAATGGCTATAGCCAGCAGGCAGAAGAGGAGCAGGAGGTGCCCACCACAGAGCAGGCACTACGTCTGCCCGTCTCGGAAAGCAGCACGGTCGCCGACACCGATGCGGACAGCACCGAGGTAACGCCCATGATAGCCGACCTGGTGCAGCAACTCAATCTGGAGATGCTGATGCCAACGGACCAAATATCCATGGCCAACTTCCAGACACAGGCGGCCACGGTGGCCTCCACCCTGGTAGATGGCAGCAACACGCTCGTCTCTGATGTGTTTATGAACTCCAATGAGACCAAGGACGAGCTCGATTTCCTCATGTCCGACGTCATACAGCAGATAACCCAAGGGGATCAGTACAAGCCGCCAGCCAAGGTCCAGCCCGAGGATGACTCCCATCGGCAGACCAACTATGCCCAGCTGAACACATCTTTCCTGCTGCCGCCAAAGCCACACAGCCACTGCCACTGCCACTGCCGGAGCAGCCAAAGAAGCCCGAGGAGGAGCCACAGAGCTCTGGCTTGCTAAACAACGTGGAACCGGAGAAGCAGCACCAGCAACAGCAACAGCATCAGGAGAGCACAACCATCAAACAGGAAGCCACTTACCCGAACGACGCCTTTCCAGCAAGTCCCATCCACGTGGAGACGAGCACGCACCGGATCCCCATCCTGTCGCTGTCCCAAATTTATGCACAGCAACAGCAGGACGAGGATGATGAGCAGCAACTGTTTACCAACGAACGACTAGACCAGCAGAGCCCGCAAGCGAAGCCAACTCAAGTGCCGTCCAAGCAGGAAACCATTCCAATTCCCATCTCCATACCCACTCCCAGCCCCGCTGTAGAGGCGCAGCCCCCAGCCACAACAGAGACTACAGAGGCAGCGTACACTGAAGCAGCCATCACTGAGCTGCAGCAGTCCGAAGAGTTGAGCCAGGAGACCACGGCCAGCGAAGAGTCAACGACCAGCAGCATTGGCGAGGGCTACACGGAGCGCACCGAAAGTGAAGAGCAAATGCCCGAGATGTTGACAAATGGTTACAACGAGCAAATTCAGATGGAGACCAGCTCCAGCTCCAGCTCGAGCTCTAGCTCCAGCACCGGTCCGTCCGGCGAAGTCACAGAATCCATCTTCGCCACGGAAAAGACTGCAACGGAAGAGCCATCAACGGACGCCACCACCACCGGCAGCAGCAGCCCTGTCACGGAAGCAGCCCTGTCAGAGGAGCAGACAACGGCGACAAATGTTTACCTGGACTCAGAGGATGCGGAGGAGCAAACATCAACATCGGAGCAGCAGCTGCAGACAGAGGAAGCACAAACAGCGGAACTGCCGGCCAGTGCAGAGGAGGACAGTGCCACCAACGCGGCCCAACTGTTGCCCCAATATACCGCACAGCCAGCGGAAGACCAATCAGAGCAACAGCAGCAGGGTGAGGAGGAGCAGCAGGGGGAGGAGGAGCAGAAGGTGGTCACGGAAATTCCCGGAGATACGTCTGTGGTATCATCTGAGTCGGACATGTCGCTCAGCTCCGAGCAGGTCACGGAAAGAATCGAACTGAGCACAGTGAAGTCACAGCAACTGGACGACGAGTCAATGGAGGAAATATCCGATGAGCTGACAGCTACCATTTCAGAGGAGCAGGAACAGGAGGCCTCACCAGAGACAGAGGCAGCGACAGGGACAGAGGCAGAGGCAGAGTCAGAGTCAGAGGCGGTGACAAGTGCACAGAAATTGCAGCTTGACGACGAGGATCCATATGTGAAGCTGGGCGAGACGACGGCCAGTGTGGTGAGGCCGCTGCCACAGCAGGACAAAAGTTCCGTAGAAGGAGACGCTGCGGAGCCGGAGGAAGACACCTACAGGGTGACTCTGCCCTTGGCCAGCTATGGCAATCCGCCGCCTGGAGATCAGCCAGATGAGGAGGATGAGGAAGATCAAGCGGGCTATCAGAGCTCTACTAAAGCGTCCACTACGACCCTTGCTCCCACAACAGCCAGCACCACGAAGCGTTTAAATACCTTGAAGCCGGTTTCCTACTACGTCCAGCCCTCACTCCTGACGGGCTACAACCAACTGGACAGCCAGCCACCAAAGGGCCTGCCCTACAATGCCAACAATGGGGGCCAGCCATTACAGTCGCAGTCCCTATCACAGTCGCAGCAACGACCGATGCAGAGACCCGCCTCACTGACCAATCTAATGGCGAGCTCCACACAAGCAACCAGGCCGCCAGTGAAGCTGGAGCCGAGTCCCGAGTCATCGCAGGGTCTGGAGGCATCCACGGCGCACATGGACGAGGACCTGCACTCCTTTGCGAAGCTCTGCAATGAGCTGGCCTTCAGCTACTGGAAGGCCATCACCTCGGAGAAGATAAGCTCGGCGAGGAGTCTGGTCCTGTCGCCCTTCGCCCTGACCTCCATGCTGTCGATGGTGTTCCTGGGCGCACGCGGCAGCACCTCTGGCGAAATGAACGAGATCCTTAAGCTGGACGACATGGTGACCTTCAATCCGCATCTGGTCTTCAAGAACATAACCAGTTCGGTGGAGCAGGCGATGGACAGCGATATAGCCACGGCCGCGTTTGTGCGGGAGATCTTCAGCGATCGCGCCAACGGCAAGATCCTGCCCTTCTTCAAGGAGAAAACCCAGCAGCTGTACGCAGGCCATGTGGAGGAGGTCAACTTCCATGTGGTCAACGACATTGTGAGACGGCGCACCAATCTGCTCGTCAAGCGGCACACCATGGGCAAGGTGCTGGAGTACCTGCGAACGAACAGCGTGTGGGTCAATGGCCCTCTGGCCACCATTTCGGCGAATCTCTTCCAGACAGACTGCACCCACGGATCGACGAGCGAGCGGGATGGGGAGATGTTCTTCCAGGTGCATCCGACTGTGCGGCAGCGTCGCCTGGTGCCCATCCCAGCGGTGCTGTATCGGTCCGGCTTCACCGCTGGCTACGAGCCCCAGCTGGACGCCACCATTGTGGCATTCGGACGCATCCAGGACACAGTGAGTACCATCTACGTGATGCCCGGTCACCAGAGCTCCATATCGCCCATGGACAACCTGGACAGACTGGAGCGCAACCTGGTGGACATGGCCTTTGGAGACACCCAGGCGTGGAGCAAGCTGCTCACCTCGCTGATGGATCGCCCTGGCATGGAGGTGCAGCTGCCGCGCTTCTCGCACCGCTCCTTTGTGAATGCTTCGCTGGGACTGCAGAAGATGGGCCTCAAGGGTCTGTTCAAATCGGACTTTGCCGATCTGCGGGGACTGACTGGGGCCGGCAACAAGGACATCTTCCTGTCCGACATGATACAGATCAACACATTCAGCACCTGCGGCGAGGAGAAGATCTCCGAGCACCATCACGTGGAGATGTATCCGGCCCCGCCGCTGCGCAAGCGAAACAAGGATGTGGAGGCCAGCGATGACGATGCCTACGACTCCTCGGAGGCTGTGGTCGACTTTGGCTCGCTGGTGCAGGAGTCGGCTCTGGGACGCGGCTTCTACGACGATCTGCTGGACCCGAAGTATCTGGAGCTGCCGTTGCCGCTGCGTCCGCGCCAGGCGCGTGTTCCGGACGCGCCCCGGCTCCGCTTCGACAAGCCGTTCCTCTACTTCGTCCGCCACAATCCGACGGGCATGATACTCTTCATGGGCCGCTTCAATCCGCGCCTGCTGCCATGAGTGCACGCGCCGTTAAGTAAGCCAAAATAGCGACTATCAATATCAGTTTTCTTGTTGAATCCGGGAAAGTGAGTTAGTGAATTTATATTTTACTCGTAACTGCCTACTGAAATGCCAACAATTAGGCTAACAATTAATCATTAATGCCCCCCCTTGCTGTGCCTTAATCCCGCGTCGTCTCCGAACCGATCCGATCCGATCCGATCCAACCCGATACGAGATTGATGTGCAGCAAACGATTGCGTTTGCCATTCCCCCCACCCTCGATTACTCAACAAAATTGATCAGATATCTTGAACTTACTTAAATGCACTCTGCCCAAATTCATTTCCAGTTGCGGTCTAGGGTTAGAATTTTATCATTTTATCATGCATTCCGCGCATATTCGTATTCTCTACCCACTGTACTCATATTTGAACAGCAAAAAATACACTTTTTATACCGATGCTCGATGCTCGCTCGGCAATGCAAACGCAAATGCAATCATGGAATGCGTCAATGTTTTGGCAACTGAACAAATGTAATTTAGTAAAATAAACCGTACCAATACGTAAACTAAAAGTTATGTATGCTATTATTTAAGCCTAAACGAAAAACTTTAAATAAACAAACATAAATATTACAAACAATTTTCGTCATAGCAGGGTATTTTCATATTTATTTGAGGCTGCCAATCTGGACACCCAGCCGGGGAAGTTACGAGATGCAATTGAAGAGACAAATATTAGAGTCAGTCCAGAATTGTAATATATTTATTTATGTGCGAATATTGACTGACTTGGGCAGTACTATTTATCAAGGAGAGTTTAATTAATGTGCCAGTGGTAAGGAATCATCAAGAGTAAATGATCAAGTCACAGTTAAATTAAGCAAATTTGCTAGCTATTTTCTATACATACACATATGGAGGAAAATAAAGGGGAAAATGGAATCCGATTTGAATTATAATACCCATTGACAAGCCGACGGGCCCCTGCTGGAAAGTGCACATCTGATAGCCCCACACAAGAGCCGTCTAAAATCAAAGCAGACAGTCAGAAAAACAGTACGCGCAAATATTTTAATTAATATTTAACAAGAATATATGCACATAAGCTAGGCTTATAATGAAATCGGTCCGTTTCCCTTTTGCTCGTGTTTGATTCCCCATTTACGTGTACATATTTACATACGAGTATATGAGCAGGAGGAGCGGCTGCGTAAAACTTTGACAGAGTTTGTCTCCGGATGGTATTGTTTTCCCTTGTTGGATGCTGCACACCCTTGCAGAGGGCTTTATCATTTTCCACAAATGCGAGTATTGAATGATTGAAGCGAGCGAAGATTGCAGATGAAATTTCCGCCCAAGAGATATATAATTTTTAATGTCACGTTTTTTATATAAAATCGCACTGCTACTACTGTTGTGAGGGTATCTAAAGATTCGTCCTGCAAAGCTACTCCTGCTCGCTTGTTAGATTTTTTTACAGATGTTGCTGCTGTGTGTGTGGGGGGACCTCGACGTGGACGGCTGCTCTTTTGCCTGTTCCCATGCTTTTGTTCGTGTTGCTCTTGTTGCTTGTTCTGTCGAGTTTTATGCGGTTTTTGCAGCTCACACGTGCCGGTGCACGTACCCACACATGTACACACAAACATGTAAGTACATATGCATGTTGCATGTGGGGCTGGGTAGGGGCTGCATGGAAAAAATCTCTGAAACAAGAAGCATACTTTTAGGCGGGCACTGCAAAACTCCCCACAATTGCCAGCCAGCCAACTGTGAAGAATGAAAAGGCCAGAAAAAACCCATCAAAACGAACCAACAACTAACGACTGCTTAGCGTCGCCACTGAGGATACGGATACAGGGATACAGGGATCCAGGGAGCCGGCCGGCCGGCCGTCGGCGGTGTCAATGTTTTCCAAATAGACCATACACACGTGTGGCTAGATTATCCGGCTCTGGTCTGTGCCCACTCCTATTGCAGCAGGGCCGATGAATGCGAAAACGAAAATAGCACGAGCACGGAGCACGGAGCAAGGGGCACGGGCTCCACACACACTTTATTATGCCACTAATTTTGTCATGCGAACTGCGAGTGGGAGCGCTTTCTGCCCCGCATAACACTCAAGTGCAACTTATTTCGTGCTTTTGGCGACAGTTGTGCGCCTTCCGCGCACAATTTCCGGAAGAGAAACATCTCTCATTGTGCCCAGCGGTTGTTGTTATGATGATTGTTATTATGATTGCATATTGTACAGTAAGAAAAGTATTAATTCATCTTTTCTTTTGCTCGTCCGCTGCAGTACTCGGCTGGACAATGTTGCGACAGCTGTTGGTCTGCCTGGCCTGGCCTGCCCTACCCTGCCTCGCCTCCACTGCCAGTCGCTCAGCTTATTGTAATTGTTGTACAGCGAACTTTTCCCTTTCCTTTCTCCTCTTCTTTTCCTTCCGTTACTCATCCTATTTTCCGTGTTCTGCTGTGTCCAAGGGTTCTGTTTCGGCATCGGATACGCGCAGGACGCGCAGTCGGATACCTTGGCTCCTTTTGTTTTTCTTAACGCATTTTGAGGAGTGTGGTGCTGTCTTTCTTTCGTTAGCACCTGCCGAAATTACGTAAGTGCCACTCGAAAGGGGAAAATACAAAGCAACAAGGCGACAGCGACAAAAGAGCCGTGCGCCCATCTGAACCCTTTCAAGTACACGGCTTTGTTATTGTTGCTTTCCTATTGTTGGGAGTGTCCTTATTATATTTGCATTATACTCCTTAATGTTGCCGTATTTTTCTGCCTTTCGCTTCCGCTTTAATTATACGACTACCATTGCCGGGATGTCTGCAGCTTGTGTCAACCACCGCACATGTATACAGATATGTACTCGTAAATGGTTTGGGTTAGTTTGGTGCCACAGCTAATGAGGTTTATTTTTTCATGCGTGCCCCGGCGAAAATAAAACTAATTTCAATATGCACACAACTTTTCACCCGCGCGGAAGACGGTAAAAACATGTCGCACGCCCAATGAACTAGCAGTCGGGCAACTCTTCGCTCAAAAAAAAATATACTAATTAATTTACATTAGCAATTGCAAACGTATAACAGAGTTTTTGTGTTGCCATGACAGCCCACGTGGCAAAAAGCACGCAAATATTACTCGCATCTAATTGGAAGGTAGCGCTAATGAGATTATTTCATTAAAAAGAATTAAGCTTCGAAATGGTAACCTGATATGAGCACTAAATAATCTTTTAACAGACCAGTCGCTTTGGTCACTTGTATTTAGAATGAGTCCAATTATTTCCCATAACCTATGTATGGGACGTGCGGCTTTAAGATTTCAAGAAAATATTTAGTTCATCTAAGGTACGCGTATACAATGGAAAATCCTTTAACAATAATTTAAACAATATCTTCTTTAGCCATTGAAGCATTTTCTAACAATCTTCTGCAATACAGACCAACAATCCCGTTTATGCAGTCAGCTCGGATATCAGGAATTTGCATTTTCTATTTAATTTACCAGAGCTCGAATGCATCCCCCTCAAATCCTTCGGCTCGGCACGGCACAGAGGAGCACAGGACAGCACAGCACAATTTCCAAGCAAAGCATTTGTCCAGACATCTTGGGAACGATAATTCGAAGAAGAGAAAATGGCAACAGGAACAACAGCAGCAGCAGCAGCAGCAGCAACAGCAGCACCAGCAGTGGCAGCACTGAGGAAAGCGAACGTAACACTCCAAGGATTAATTTGAGCGCGGAAAGTGAAAACGCAGTTTCAGTTTTCCCCACACCAGAGCAGCGGCAGAGACATGAAATTTATGTTATATACTTGGAGAATTATGTGTTTGCGGGCCTGGGGAGCAGTGAAATTAGGGGCAGCTGTAGAATCAGCGACGCACACAAAATCAGAGAAGCAGTCAAGCATTGGCTCTGAACTAGATACGGCGCAATGCAGACTCGCCGAGATTTCAACATGAAATCATTAGCAGGACACTGCGGCCGGTTAACGTGTGATATATGTATATTGGACCTGACGAGACCAGACCAGACCAAGCCAGACCAGACTAGACAGGACAAGCCAGCAAACATGCAACGTGTGTGTCCATGCAGCTCCCACTCACTCAGGCGGTCGGGGAGCTGCCTTTATCCCAGTTTCTATGCAAACGGTATTAAACAGGCAGCTCGGCATGGCGCCAGGATTCAGGATCCAGGACTCAGCCAGCAGCCTATGGCCATATCCTCGCCTATGGCTCGGGGCCTGTAACAACAGAAACAAGGACAAGGACATGCACAAACCACACACCCAAAAGTGGTTTCTAAACTAGTTTTCGTTACCATCCACTATCCACTGCAATCCCTTCCTTGTTATACCCTTTCCCGATACTTGAGGGACTTTCCATCCCAAGTGTAAAAATGTTCTTGATCAGAATAAATATATAAATATAGATATTCTCGATCAGAATAGTTATCCATAGTATATATTGTGTAGAGAATTTAATATAAGCATACAAATATTAAATTAACCTTCAAGGAATATCCGAAGACCTTACTTTACGAATGAGTTAACAAGACTAACTAACAAGCAATGGATTTTCTCTTTTCCGTCCCCCAAACATTTTCAAAACATTTTCAAGGGTATATAAAGCACCGACCCCGGAAGGAACAATGCTTTTCTTCATTGTTGTATCGAGTGTTTATAAATGTTTTCCTACATCCCTGGGATGCATATGCCCAAGCGAGGGTATGGAGTCTGAGTGGGGTATTGGGGTCTTCCTGCGGGTATCTGGATGGATCTAGCATGTTCTGGCCCGCACCACAAACTCTGATTTAATTTTTCGAATATTGTAAAATGTTCCCTTTTCTGTTACGTTCCGCTCCGTTCCGTCCTGCGCTGTGCTGTGCTGTTCTGCATTCAAAATTAGTCGCTTGTAGTCGCTGCGGTTGTCGCCTTTGTTATTGCTGTAATCGATGTTATTATTGCTGTTGCTGTTGCTTTTGCTTTCGCTGATACTGCTCTCCTTGTTTGCGGACCTACTGTTCCATTTTTGCAACTATTTGGCAGCCTGGCTTGTAATTAAATTTAACACGGGAAGCTAACTGTCCGCCACAATGCAATTTGATCGTCATCTGTGCGGTCTGCGAATCAATTAGTTAATCCTTGCAATTGTCCTCCCCAAATAAGTTTCGAAACAATTCAGAAACTAGTGGCTAATAGAAATAACAATTAAAAACTATATCGAAATAACAATAAATCAGAGAAGACAATATTTAATTTCGGTCAAAAATATATTACTGAAAAATCAATACTTTAAATTTTATTTGTAGCTTCTGGCTGTTTTAAAGCGTTTTGCCTTTTTTCGGTACAAAATTATCGAATTAAAAGAAACTGATTTTATTTTTGGCGATAGAAATTCTTGAACGCCAATCCCGGTAACTAAGAGGCAATGAATCAGAAGTAACATACAGTTTTAAATATTAATACTTGCACCTGTCCCCGGCTTACCACTTGGCTCATGTCCATTGCATGTTCTCTTTTGCCATAAATGTTCACTGAAATTGCATTTGACGCTGTGAAAGTATAAATAATTGTCTTGCACTGGGGCCAAAATTTATTGCGCTAAATTGCAGCGAT